CCTCCCCTCCCCTCCCCTCCCCTCCCCTCCCTCCCCTCCCTCCCTCCCCTCCCCCTCCCTCCCCTCCCCTCCCTCCCCTCCCCTCCCTCCCCTCCCTCCCTCCCTCCCCCTCCTCCCTCCTCCCTCCCTCCCCTCCTCCTCCTCCCCTCCTCCCTCCCTCATCCCTTCCTTCTCCTTCCGACTTTTTCCGTTCTCGTCACTCTCCTGTCCTTCTTTTGCCTTCCTCCTCTCACACCTGTTGCTCTGGTGCCAGTAACGGATCCGCAGGGAGGACAAACGACGACGCTCGACTCCTTGATAACAGGGGTGAGAACGAGAAGGAGGGAGAGGAGGAGGGAGAAGTGATGCGTATCAGCACTAGGATCAGGATACGGATTAGAACTAGAACCAATGACAGCAGGAGCAGGAGCAGGAGCAGGAGCAGGAGCAGAATCAAGAGCAGGGGAGGGTTAGAGGCAGTAGCAGCAGGGTGGGAACTTTTATTTCAGTCTCACTTACGTCAAGGTGATGGAGCTTGACAAGATTCTCAACGAGGAGAACGATCTCGATAGAGCCAAGTCTTGCGTCGCAGACCTGCGGCCACTGCTGCAGATGCTGATGAGGAGCGGTTACAGGTGGGGCTAGTTGCTCGATCTCCCCCTGCCTCTCCTCGCGCGCAGCTCTCCTCTCCACCTTCTTCCTTGTTTCCCGTCTCTTCTCTCCTCCATCGCCTCTGACCGCTCCCTCTCTTTCTCTCTTCCCGTTCCTCTCCTCTTTCCCTCTCCTCTCCTCTCTTCTTCTCCCTCTCCTCTTTCCCTCTCTTCTCCTCTCTTCTTCTCCCTCTCCTCTCTTCCTCTCTTTCTGTCTTGTTGGCTCTGCCCGACCCTGATCTCTCTACAGGCCAGAGCCTATCGCACCGGACGATACATGATAAAGTTTTCAGTTCCCTCGTTTTCTAATTCATCGCAGTTAATAATCAAGGTAGATCGGACTGGTCGCGTCCTCCTATCATACACCTCACCTCTGCTTCTGCTTCTCCTCTCCCTCCGCTCCGTCGCTCTCTCCATGCTCTCATGGCATCTCATCTCCTTTCTCCTCCTCCTTGCTCATGTGTTGTTCCGCTCCGATCTCGCAGAGTTCTCGCGGATCGACTGAAGTTTCTGCCGGTCCTGCTCGCGCAGGCCGAGCTCGTCCGGGGGTTCTAGAGACCATGCGGGCTCCTCGGCGAGAGCAAGATGATACAACCTGATCCGATGTCACTGAGAGGAGAGGAGAGAACAAGAGCAGAGGAGAGGAAAAGAAGAAGAGGGGGAAGAAGAAAGAGAATGGGGCCGGGGGAGGGGGGAGAAGATGGGAGAGGAGGAAGGATGAGGTAGAGTCAGATATGTTGAGACGGAAAGCTAAGGCGCGAAGGAGAGCGATGAAGAGGGATTGGAGGACTGCCAGGGCGGGCGAACGAGGAAGGGGAGAGGAAGAAAAGGAGATACCCGTCATTGCCACAGTTGTAGACGTAGTACGTGTTGTCGATTATTGGCTTCCTCCCGCTATCCCATTTTACAGTGCACTGAAGACAGTGAAGAGAGGTGAAGTCAGAAGGAAGCTGCGAGAGGGAGCAAGGGCGGGGGGGGAGGGATGGATGGATGGATGGAGGGAGGGAGGGAGGGAGGGAGGGAGGGAGGGAGGAGAGGGAGGGAGGGAGGGATGGATGGAGGGAGGGAGGGAGGGAGGGACGGAGGGAGGGAGGAGGAGAGGGACGGAGGGAGGGAAGGAGGGAGGGAGGGAGGGAGGGAAACAGGCCGTAAATGACTTCACCATGCCCATATAAGCTTCTCTCCCATTGTAGACCACAGTACCGATCCCATCGTCCAGATAGTCAGTTCCATGTTCCTTGTCCCACAATCGCAAATATTCCTTTCCCGCGTCGCTGTGCAGCATTAGGACAAGACATGAGGAGGAGGAGGAGGAGGAGGAGGAGGAGGAGGAGGAGGAGGAGGAGGAGGAGGGCTAAAAGACCTCAGCTTGACGCGCAGCCCACTTGTGATCTTGAAATCTCGTCCGAGGATCTACCGATCAAGTAAGAATCAACCTTTCCCACCTTCACCCTTCTCACTTTCTCGCATGTTTCTGCTATCTGCGGGCTCCGGAAATGTTTTGCGTGATATTGGGCCTTGAGAGGAGAGACTCAGCAGACGTGCGAGCGGGGTTGTAATGAATCAACTCATGCATCTCGTCCTCGTATCAGCATCAGACGTCAACGCACCTGGGAATGACAGTTCCTGGGCATCATTACCAGCCCAGAGATATCTGAGTTCTGACCAGACGCTGGAAGTTGCGCACATGGGTGGCCGGGAATCAGCATGCCTGTAGAGGTCGTGTGAAAATTCTAACATCTCATCATCCTCTGTTCTCTCAACGTCATCAATTCTTCTGTCTTTCCCCTTCCCTCCAATCATCTATGATCTTGTTCTCTTGTTCTCTTGTTCGCTTGTTCTCTTGTTCGCTTGTTCTCTTCTCCATCTCATGACTGTCTTCCATCATCTTCATCGTCTTCTCAGCATCCTCTCCTTGTCTCCCTCGCTTCTTCTCTTCTCTTAGCCTCATTTCTCTCTGCCGCCTCCATGGTTTCTCCAACTGTTTTCCCTGAAGCCACCACCCCACCTACCTACCCTCATTTTGAAGATGAACAACCGGGTACTTAGACTACCCTACCCACAGTCGTCAGTTAGGCCAGCAATGGCGAACGGTAAAGCAGCGCAAGCAATGGGCGACGCTTGCCAGCATGGCAGGAGGGAGGAGCATGAGACCAGAGCTCCTGCATGCTGAGGGCCTCGAGGAAGCGAGATACAGCAGGAGATGAGAGCCGCAAGAGCTGCTCGCGTCCTCTCAGATCGTTGCTACCGGCGGCAATCATCGCTATGCCAGGCCTGAGCACAAGGCCCAGCAGCCGTTGAGCCCGACAGGCACGACGAGGGAGGGTTCTGACGCCATGCTGCTGTGAACCTGTAGAGAGGACGTGAGGTTGTGCAGAGGAGGAGAGTGGGTCGCAAGGTAGCTGACGCCACCATGATTCGTGGCGGAGAACGGAGGGCAAGATCGGCTCATGGGAGGAGGGAGGACATGAGAGATCGAGATCAAGGGATGGAGCACAGTAGGCTGCAAGGCAATGAAGATTCCATCCTGAAACGAATGACGCTCAGAGAAGAAAACTTTGCCATGAAGCAATCCCTGCTGAACGAAGATGCGGAAAGGAACATTGGTCTTGCAATGAAGCTCAGCAGAGATCTCGGAAACCAGCTGGACCAGCACAGGAGGGAAGAGAACGAGCTCGTGTCTGACTTGATCAGGTACCTCAAGAGAGCGATTGCGCATCAAGACCTATTCGAGACTCTCGTGTCGAAAGCTCGGAAAGATGTTCTGCATGCTGAGGTGATCGCAGACCACAAGTCCGCGGAGCTGCAGCGGGTGGAAGAGAGGATGAAGAGCCTTGAGAAGTCTTCCTCTGAAAGGATCGCGGAGCTGGAGGAGAGACTGCGGGAGGTGCAGGAGGAGCTGGACCAGGTGAAGATGGAGTCTCAGAAGCCTGCCTGGAAGGAGGAGCAGGAGGTACACGATCCCAACAGTCAGGTCACGAGCAAGGAGTGGTATGAAGCTGAGATCGCCTACCTCAACAACAGATGCTCTCAGCTCTCCGTGCAATGCGAGACACTCCTCATGCAGAGGGTTGCGAACTACAGTGAGAGCAGGTCCAACAACTCGAGCTGGAGGGAAGGCAATCGCTCGAGGAGGAACTCGTCTATCCAGCTGGCGTCCTTGTTGCCCGACGAATGCTACTCCCCTGCTCTTGCCGATGGTTGTGCTCAGACACAGGAGGAGGAGTTCACAGTAGCTGTGGCGGATTTCTCACCTCCACTCGTGCTGAGAGGGTCTCTATGTGACCCACCTCACCAGCTGCTCTTCAAGAGTCTCAACCCGTCGTCAGCTCCTGACCAGCGTGAGTTTGCGCTGTTTCTGCCTGACAACTTCAAGATGGTGTACGAGGTTTCCTCGTCCCCCGAGTCCAACAAGGGTCGGCAGCTGCGAAGGCGCAAGACGCTTCTCAGGAAGTCAAAGTCAATCAGACTTGACCAAGCTCGGTCGTTTGACGACATCTTGAGCATGCAGTTCGACGACAACCTTGCTCTGCTCCCTGTCCGAACTCTCTCCCGCTGGATAGGCGAGGTCTGGGTCGCTTTCATCCGCCACATGAAGGATGCCGAGGAGGCGGCAGCACCCGAAGAGACCTTGGCTGTTGCCACGAGCGAGAAGCTGTTCGGGTCCTTCATCTGGAAGCACTTCCTGCGCAAGGTGATGTAGCGAGCTGTAAGGAGACGCTACTGACTGACTTTCTGACTGCAGTATGGCACTGATCAGATCGCCTCCCACCTACGGGACTTGGTCTGCAGCGCTCGCAAACACCGGGAGCATTATCCCAGGATCCGGATGTTCGCAGAGTTTGCAGGACTTGATGCCAAACGCCCTCTGAAAGCGCTCAAGACGTTTGTAATGCTCCTAGAACACATGCTCCCTCCCTCGTCCTTTGACGACGACAATGCCTTGGTCTGGATCGCGGCCGAAGATATTGTGAACATCGTGAATCGAGAATTGAAGTTGAAGGTGTTGAAAGACAAGACCGACCGGTTCCTGAACGAGCTGCTGCCGAGACTGATAACTTGCCCTGACAAGGATCGCTCAAAAAGGATTGTTGACGTGGACATCTGTGCCGAGTGCTTGACCAACCTCATGCTGGAAGGAGACTACTCCGTGCTCGATCACATCCTTGAACCGGTCGTCAAGGTGTCGGAGGAGACAGACTCGATATCTCAAGAGATCTTTGAGCAGATCGTCTTCCGCCTGGACCCGACTGCTGACGAGGATGTGTGGGTGAAAAGATTTCACTCTCTGACCAAACAAGAGGCCGGGGAGGACGCAATATCGTGCGAAGATATGATCACGATCTTCAAGCAGATTCCGCTCAAAGACTACGAGCGAACCGTGTTGGGTGATGAAGGAAAACAGCTCCACGTCTCCAATCACGTCCTTGTACGAGCATCGTTGGAGCACTTTTGGTACAAGAACAACGTGAGGATCAGACAGACGATCCAAGACCTCGAAGACAAGCAAGCTCGTCTCACCGCCCTCCTCCGCAGGTTCAACTCAGTTTACTCTCGTTCCTCACCGTCAGTGGAGACAACCTTGGAGCTACTCATGTATTCGAGGATGATCACAGCAGAGCTGCTGCTGGAGAAGACAGAGACCATCTCCAAGAAGCACAAGGCTGCTCGCCCCTCCTACTTCCACAGCTCCTCCTCGAGGAATGCCAGCATCATCCGTGCGCTGCTTCCCCGAGGACACAGTTGCTTCTGACTTGGGACTTCAACTTCAAGCTCAAACTTCGGCGGCAACTGACTCAGTGAGTGCCAGGCTCGGACGGTCTCACCGCTGTCACCAGGATTCCGAACGGTTCATCGGATTCAACGTGATCGGACTTGAAGGGCCTCGGCACTGCATGGTGTGGCGCGCCGGCGGCGGCCGGGCCGTCACCGTACTGCCCTGGCCGGCCAGAGCAGCTGCCGCTGCCAGCCTGAGGGCACTGCGGCAGGGCCCGGGCAGTCACTGAGTGCCGCTCAGCAGTGGCATGGTCATCGGATAGAGTGATACTAACACTGACAGCAAGCTAGCGGCAACTCCGACGCAAACTTGAAGTTTACACTCGGATCCGATCAGTTACTACCACACTGACACGGACGTGGCGCCGAGTAGTGACTCAGTGACCGTACCGTACGGGCCGCCAGGGAGCCTATTAAACTTACTAGTTAGGCCCGAAACTCGGAACTTGGCTTCGGAACGAGCCCGGGCTCCGGGAGCCTGCCCGCCGGGCACTGCAGTCGACCGGCCGGCCGCGCCTGCCGTAGGCTAGCCTAGTCGAAACTTAGCGGCAGAGCCTCTGCCAGGACGTTCGTCGGAGCCCGCTTGCCCGCTGCCCGGCCCGGGCCGGCGGTGGCACCCGGCGACTCAGGCGACTCCGGCGGGCTCGGCAGGCCGCCCGGCCGCTCGCCGGGCCGCGGCTGTCGGCCGACTGATCCAACTTTCAGGTTTCAACTTGCGTAACGCGGCTGCCGGGTTGTCACCGGACGGTTCAAACACTGACTGTACTCCCGGAGTTCGTGCTGTGCCACGACGGTGATGACTCACCTGACTCACCGATGCACGGTGTTTAATGAAAAGACATATGTTCAAGAAAGTTGCTTTCGAACATAATATTGTTCGAATACTATGATACGGCACTATAAGTGGGTCCGTGACGGCAATGCAATCATGCCGGCGGTCACGAGTCCAACCCGGTGTGACCAGCGGCTGCGGCCCGGGGACGCCGGCCCGGCGCCGCACTGCGGACTCCGCCATCAGCCCGCGGTCCGTGCCACGGTATCGGCAATTATCAGCGTCACGGTATTTGTTTTTTAGGCACTGGAATTTTAGCTGGTCATCAGCGCGTTACCAGTAACGTGGCATTTTGCACAACACAATAAAGTCACGTTACTGGTAACGTGATATTCTTGGGGAAGCTTCGAAACAGCATCGTTTGGTGATCAACACATCGATGGAACAATGACCCCCTACCTCCTCCCCGAAGTACCTACCCTCACATCGGACTGCCTTCTTCCATCGTCCGCGATGTGCTAACGCTCTGTCTGTTGCTGTAACTTCCCAGCCATATCCTCCTTCCTCCCATCCATTCGCCCCTCCTGTCCCACCCCACCCCACCCCACCCCATCCCTCCTCCCTGCTTCTCTCTCTGTCCACCCATCCTCCCTGTCATTGCTTTCAGCATTGATATCTGTTGTCGCTGACCACATCGCAACCGGCAACACAAGAAGACCGTCCTGGGTGTTCAAGAGGCTCGACCACGCACGTTCGTCGTGCTCCCCATGGCTGCGCATCCTGATCAAGATAAAGTAGTACATCGCTCATCAGAGTCCTCAGTATCTTCGTGGGATCAAGCGAGTCTCCGGGAGGAGGAGAGGGCTGTGAGAGATTTGCTATTTGTGCAGTCTGGTTTCACTAGATGTCCGGAGGGAAAGTTTCGCTTCAGGAGAGAATTCCTAGCTCTCTCATCCATGAAACAGTTTCCATGTCCTGAAGCTGAGCAGGCGTATCAAAACTTCTTCAGGGAATGTCTTGCGGATACCCTGTGGCCCTACAACTACATGCTCATGATTGTTGCCTCGACGTTCCATGGAGGGGTGTTTCTTTTCCGGCTGTTTCGCAACAAACTCGGAGAGGATCCATCAGAAGACACGCTTCTGATCGTGAGGATTGTTATGGTGTCATGTACCTGGGTGGTGAATTTGAGATGGAGGACATTCTCCATGGCGACGAGGAGGAGATCGTCGACCTTCTTGAGTGTCGTGCTGAAACTGAGGTGTTTTATGCTATTTCTGGAAAACTGCAAGAAGGACATAGACGTCAAGAGCGTCTTCCTGTCAGTGATTATCATATCGTTTGGCTCGATTTTCCTCACTGCTACTTGGATTGGTCACGTGGGCTTGACGGGGTTTGCTTGCTGTGCCAGGCATTTGTCGACACTGGTGACTCACGGAAGGTTCAGACATCGAGGATGGGAACTTGAGCACCTTCTTGCCTTTCTGATTGTCTTCGTCTCCACTTCTTTGGGGTCTCTCGTCCTTCATGAGCATCGGCGCAGGAGTTTCGCTCGGATATGGGAGGTAAGCAGTGACAACCCTGGAGCAGCCGCGAAACAGACGAAGAGGGAATGAGATGGGCAGGGAGGGATGTCTTTGGTATTCATAGGCCTCTGCGATTAAACCAGACGAGCACGGTTTTGCCAATGATTGACTCAGTGAGGTCACGGTGAGAGGCTCCATTCCGTCACAGTGAATGCCCAAGTTGGTTGACGCCGACCGGGTCCGACTCGCCGCTGAGCTTCCGATCCTCAACCGTTCGGAAGTTCAGTACTGCCAGTATACTGGCGGCCGGAGCCTCGGAGGCTGGGCCGCGCAGCGGCGGGCGGCCGTGACGGTGACCGTACTGTGACTCTCACGGTACTGAGCACTGATCGTCCGGGACCGTGCCCGGCTCAGCCGCCGGGCGGTGCCCGGCCGGGCCACGGACCCGGCCGGGCCGCCCCGGCCGGGCGCTGGACTCAAGTGCGCCGGGCTCCGACCGGCGGTGAAGTTACTATGTTGGCCGGGGCGTGGGCGAGTCCGCCGGCCGCCGCGGGCCCGGGGGGCCGGGCCCGGCCCCCGGGCGGCGTCACTGGCCCTGCCACGCGGCCCGCGGGCCGGGCCCCCGGGCGTACGCCGTAGTACGGTACGGTCACGGCGTCCGACCGGCGGCGTCTCACCGTCCGAGTCACGGCGTCCGATCACGGCGTCACCCGTGACCCGGGGTCACGGTGACCCGGCGCCGTGACTCGTGATCGGACCGGGCCGCCGGGCCGTCGGGCGGCGGCGTACGGTACCGTACCGTAGCCTACCGTTCGGTAGTACCGTCACGGCCCCACGGTACGCTGCCGCGCCCGGGCTGGGCCGGGCCCCGGCGCCGCCAACGGATGATAGTTTTGAACTGACTCATCCGAGTCATTGTATGAGGTCCGATGCCACAGGCTGATGACTTTTACTCAAAGCCTGACGGTTAAAGTCAAAAAGGCTCATGACACGAGAGGCTCGCGAGCGGCGGCTGCCTGAGCGCGAGTCGCAAGGAGGGACTGGGCCCGGGGGGGGGGGTAGGGTAGTCAGAAGGCATTTTCTGGTACTGTAGAAGCAGTTTGTCAACTTCTTTTCAGTCAGGGGGTGGGTGGATGCGAGTCGGTTGCTGAGAGGCTCGGCGATCATCTGTAAAGTGGAGAAGGGGGGTGGTTTGAAGGGTGATTGGAGGGGTGGTGAGGGTTGTTAATTCTGACAGCAGGTCAGTAGCGCGATCAACTTTACAATGTTCAATGCGGAGCATGGTTGACTGAGGACTCGAGGGCTGTAGAGTAGAAGGCGATGGCTGGGAGAAGAGGAGGAGGAAAGGTAGAGAGCTGTCAAGTTCAAGATGTTACACTTCGAGGCTCAGGCTGGTAGTTTCCGCCGCAAAACGTACTCGAGGCGCACATAGCAAGAGTGTCGAACGGTCATTGCATATGTTAGCGGGTATGGCTTCAAAACAAGGAACGAGAGATGAGTGAGTGAGAGTAGATGTAACTTGATGCTCATCAACACTGCTCAGTGTGTTTGTCTCAATGATGTGCTGCAGGACTTGCGATGGCTTCCGCTTTCATCGTTCACAACCTTCAGAAGAAGATCCAGGCGGACAAGAGCAAGAAGACAGATCTCTCTTCTCCATTGCAAGAGTCCAGCCGTCTTGAGCTCCCTGTGGATGGTTTTTTACGATCCGGGTTTCTCGAGAGGAAGCGTGTCACGGCGACCATAACGTGGCACAAGGTGAAGGCCGTGCTGACAGCAGAGGCGCTCCTGTTTGCAAGGCCGGACTCAAAGCTCGTCTCCGATGAGATTCCTCTGCATGAGATTACAGACATTCTCACTGAAGCCTCGCTCGACAAGGGCCAAGACACCGCAAGCAAAGCCATCATCATCCAAACCACCAAGGATGGTCACAACAGCGGGAGAACCTACGTGTGCCGTCCGGACCCTGCGGAGTTTGACATGTGGTTCAACGATCTTCAACAGCAGTGTCAAGCTGCGAAGATTGCAAAAGAGCAAGCGAGAAGAGACGCTGAGAATGCTGGTAGCCAACTTTCTCGGCTGAGAGCTAAGGTCTTGCGCGTGTATGAGTCGATATACAGCGAAGGCTTCTTCGCAACCATCCTCATGCTCTGCTTTTCTGTGGACGTGTGGGAAGCACAAGTTCTACCTGCTGATGGCTCAAGTGCGGCTGCGATGTTTGACACGTTCGATGTTGTCTTCACCAGCATCTTCACAGTTGAGCTGGCAGTGAACTTGTTTTCGCGCTCATCCCACTATTTCAAGCCCTTCTACTCCAACGGATGGAACATTCTGGACCTTGTGATAGTGATGATCTCTCTGATTGTCTTGTTCGCTCCCGGACTTCCTTCTCTTCAACCCCTCAGGCTTGTTCGCGTCTTCCGTGTCGCTCGCTTGTTTCGCAAGTTTCGCTCCTTGAACCGCATCATCACGGCCCTGATCTCCGCTCTTGTCCCTGTGGCGAACAGCATGATCATCCTGCTTCTTGTCACTGCAATCTGGTCTGCCCTTGGCACTCATCTCTTTCACGAGCAGAGCCCTGAGTTCTTCGGCAACTTTGCGTCCTCCCTTTTCACGGTAAAGCTCTCCCCAAGTACTAAGGGTCAAAGTGTTTGACTCGTTTGCTCATGCCTAGATGATTCAAGTCATGACAGGAGACGGGTAGTATTCTGCTTTCCTTGTCTTCTTCCCTTCTGTCCCCTCTTTTCTATATTCTCTCTGCCTCTGCCTCTGCCTCTGCCTCTGCCTCTTTCGTCTTGCTCTGACTAGTGTTGCAGCTGGGCTTCAGACGTTTCTCGTTCATTGTTCGACGATGGTACAGTGAAGACAAGTCGAGACGTGTGGGTGGCGATGTTCTTTGTCTCCTACGCTCTGGTGGCCGGTGTCTTCCTGATCAACGTGGTGGTGGCGGTTCTCTTGGACGAGTTCATCTCTTCCATTCAGGCAGGAAAAGAAGCTCTCGAAGTGGCTAAGGCGGAGGAGGAGGACAGGAGGAAGAAGGCGAGGAGGTCCAACGGGGTGCTGGACCCGCTCACAGCTCACTTGTCACACTTCGTCTCGGAGAAGGACCTCAGGTCGAGGATCCACGAGACGTACGAGCGACTTGACTCGGACGGTTCGGGAGGTCTCAACTTCGAGGAGTTTCAGAAGGGTCTCAAGAAACTGCCGACGTCCTCGCCGATTCACATCCTCGAGGACGACTTCGAGGTGCTGACAGAGAACGGCAGGTTCTGCAACATCAGGAGAGAGTTCGGTAGCGATCAGTTCCAAGAGATTATGCGAGAGGAGCTGAAGCGATACTCCCAGCGAGTGCTGGCAAACGCGATGCAAGAGACCCAGAGCTACGAGACGCTGGCGATGATGCTGACGCTGAAGCGGCTGGAGCTCATTGCTGAGAGCAATTCAAGGATCATCAAGTCCTGGGGCTTCTCCTCCAAGGGGGCCGGCATGCTGTCCGAGGTGTTTGCAACTCACGACCTCAACCAGGATGGTGTGCTGGACCTCAACGAGGCGAGAGAGGCGCTTCTGACCCTGGGAGTCCCCGACTTTAAGATAGATCACGTCCTAAGGGCCATGGACCTCGACGGAGACGAGAAGATCTCCAGAGAAGAGTTCCTCAGAGTCGGAGAGCACATGGAGAACACTGACGCTCGACTGGACCGTCTTGAGCACTCGGTCAATGACATCAAGACCATGATTCGTCTCCTCCTCTCCGCACCTGGCAAACCCGCTGAAGCTTCAGGTGACGCAAGGGTGTTAGCAGGTGGGAACGAGCATGTTGGAACGAGCATGAACTTCACTCTGCAGGCGATGGTGCAGGTGAAGGGAAGAAGCAGGAGAGCAACGGCAAGGACCAACGATTGCGACGAGCCTCATCGATGAAGTTGCTCAAAGTGAGCTGTGTCCTGCGCTCCTCTTCTTCTTTCCTCATCGTCTTCACCCCTCCTTCGCTCCTCTCCTTCTCCTCACCCCTCGGCTGCTTCGACCTTGTCATTATCCTGCAGGGTGCGTCCCCATCCCAGGTGCTGGACGAGCTGCTCGATGGCAGGAACACCCCTAAGTCGGACAAGAAACCCACCCGTTCTCAAGACAAGAAGCGACAACCAGCTGGCCATGGGGGGGAAGCAAAAGATCGAGCGCTCGTGCGAGATTGGTGGAGCAGGTATCAGGAAGATGACGACAAGTACGGCTCTGCTGCTCGACAGACCCGAGCTGCCATGCCAGGTGACATGAAAAGATTGCTGATTGCGTGAGTGAAACATGCTGAGCAGAGTTGGTGCTTGTTGATGCTTTGAAGCAAGGGAACGGCTTCGACGAGCAGAACAGCCGGGAAAGGTCGATCAAGGGAAAGGAGAACAGCAGGAGAGAGGCAGTCAAGGCTCTGAGCAACAGAATTCTGTCGCAATCAAGACGGCACTCGGCCTCTGCGGTAGACCTTCGACAGCAAGAGAGCGAGGGCTTGGATAGATCTTTCCACGGAGCTCATGTATAATTTATTTCTCAGCATCCAAACAATCTTGGCTCTGGTCAAGTGTTTTGCCTCAAAGATGGTTCGTTCTGATGTGATATTGCAAATAGAGAGTGCTTACAAGTCTAGTCATCCCCAGAAACAGTTGCTTGAATGTTTATCATACTAACTATGACGAACTTGATTTCATTATCCCACTAGCGGCCTTACCATTGTCTGGCCACATCTCAGGCTGCTCAACAGTGGCTGCACAAGGCTAACTATTACGAATTAGGGGGAAGAGAGATGGCGCACACAACCATTGACAAGGTACAAGGAGAGAGTTTTATTCGTTTTCTCTAGAACGAAGAATTCTTCAAAAATCGCGAGCATCCGTTGGATAAAATTCGCAGCTGACATTACAACCAGATGAATATCAGGAAGTATTCAGCTGACATCACAACCAGATGAATATCAGGAAGTATTCAGCTGACATCACAACGAGATGAATATCAGGAAGTATTCAGCTGACATCACAACGAGATGAATATCAGGAAGTATTCAGCTGACATCACAACGAGATGAATATCAGGAAGTATTCAGCTGACATCACAACGAGATGAATATCAGGAAGTATTCAGCCTTGAAATGAAAAACAAGGTCACAAGGAAGGCGCCAGTCACAAGGAACTTTCAACTTGATTTCCAGAATGATTTCCAGCCTTCTCTATTCCTGGCGACGATATTCCATCTTTGCTAACGAATGCATGCAAGCTATCATCAGATTCCATGGCCTGTTCCGTGTTCGAGCATTCGTTCTCCTCTATTTCAGTCTCTGCTGGGCCATTCTGCATCGGCTCGCTGTCGTGTGATGGAGTTCTCATGAACGCAAGTATGCTCTCGTAATCGTCCAACCACTGAAAGCTCTCGTCAGCCTCATAGCCGATGTTGAAGTCTACGATGAGGTTGTGTCTTGTTGTGACAGGTGCTGTGATGAAGCTGCATCCGAAGAACTGGTCAAAAGTCTCCTTGCTCAGAGGCTCGCTCGCCATGTCCATCCCTGCAGGCGCCCGCATCACGAGGTACTTTCGTTTACTGGCCGCTTGCTTTTGGTTCTGAAAAAGGGTCCGACTACCTCGTGACCCACCTCGTGACAGTCGTGCAAGGAAGTCCGTTCAGATGGACAGGTAGGGGGGTCTTGAATATTTGCTAGTACCGCACTAGAATAATCGACTGGATATGCTGCCCTTCTCACACTATCAAATGTGCGTTGCGGCACCTTTTGAGCCTGAATGCTACCCCAACCATTTACTGTCAATGGACCCGTGGTTTAAGTTTAACTCAGCTAGGAGTCACGATACCCCCCTCTTTATTCCTGTCAGCTGAAGCGTGACTTATTTAACAGTCGGCCCGGCCCGGCCCGGCCCAGTCACCGTGGACACTAGAAAGTTTAGCTGGATTAGAAAGCTTTTGACCAGAGGGCTCCCTAAAAGAATATATTTGACCGCAGGATTTTAAGTTGTTCAAATATTTGGATTTATACATAAATCACCGTCTAAACTTTCAAATAAAACCACGATTTTCATTTCGAACTGACCTCAAATCGAGCTGCTTCCCCGCCTCGCTGTCTCTGGTCAAAATGATGTGTACCATGTTCTCCTGGTCAAAGAAATAAGAATAAAAATAATGTTAAAACACATTGATTGACAAAGGATAGGGACGTGCCTTTGAGGTCGTTGTCAGATTCCATCCAAACGCTGTGTTTTTGCATCGATTGCAACTGACGACCCTCAAAGACTTGGGTTTTTTTATCGTTCTGACTTAGTCACAGTGAATCACAGAGAGTACCCCCTGGCCAAACTTTTCTTCTCTGTGGTACATGCTTTGAACCCCATATCATAGCTGATACATTCTATAATTGAAAGTCTAATATCAGAAGGCTTATATGGGGAGTAGACCTTCTCCAATCCGAATAGCTCTTGTCCCATGACCCCGACAGATCGCACCCTTACGTAGCTCCTCAACCGCCTACAGCACAGGCAAGACAACGTGTATGTAGCCCGTGTGATTGAAAGTTAGAGGAGAGTGTTCTTGTTCATGTGAAGTCATTCCATGACAGTCATCGATGATCACTTGCACCAATTGTTGCATTGCGCTGTTGTTTCCTGAACTACCACATGCAAATGCAAACTTGGAACAGGTCACAGTGCGTTGATAAGCAACGTGTCAGCGTTGGGGAAAGTGGCAACCATGGGAAGCTTAGTAAACTCCGCTAGTCTTAGAATATTAGGCGAAAGCAATGGCCTGCTTGGCCTGCTTAGAATTGTAGTGGGAACTGGCCGTTACTGATTTGTCTTTTCACGCGCCTCTTCCCATTGCGCACTTTTCCTTCGGGAGTGGTTGTATTATCTTGAATTTCATCCCGTGGTTTCTATCACTTTTGATAATATTCATATTGGTTCATTCTTACACGTGCTTTCTCTTGATGTGTTTGATTCCACCCTCCCCCACAGCGACGGATATGTAAATAGATGTCTTCTACTCCCGGTATACCAGCCGATATTGTGGACGCTGACTGTCGGCTCCGCAGGGTGAAGAAAGTGTGATGCAATTCATCTAGAAATTGATCGAAGGAAGAAGATACAAACTCGGAAACATCAAACCAGATACCACAAGATGCCTTTAGGTAAAACAAGGATCGAGAGAATACCCGACGATCGAACCCGACAGAACACCTTTCACAAGCGCAAGATGGGGCTCATGAAGAAAGCGATAGAGCTCTCCATCCTGTGTGACTGTGACATCGCAATGGTCATTAAGAGCAAACCCACAGCCAACTGCAAGGAGGGGCGCTTGTTAGCGTACTGCAATTCGGATTTGAAGGTACTCGGAGTTGTTGGTCACCTTCCACTCATGCAACATTCAGGCTTTGTTAGAACAATGCCTGGATAACTTTCCTCAACAAATCTACAGCAACGAGGAGTATTCTCGATTCGAGAAGGTTTCTTGCTGAGGACTGCTCCGTCTTTTTGCTGACGAGCTACTGTCTGCAGGACAAGGATGATGATGACCTCTTGAAGGATGACGGGAAGATGATGTCAAACTCTCCTGAAAACTCGAACAGCAGCAGCCCCAAAGACTTCTGTATTGACAGCATGCGAGCATCTGGCCCTGACAACCATCAAGGGAAGAAGGCAGCGGATAATGACGCTGCCTGCGCGCTCATGGAGTTGGAGAGTGGAAAGCAGAGCTATCGGTCCCTGCTGGAAAAGAGCTGCCCTCGCACATCACCGAAGAACTCTGTGAAGGGCAGAGGTAAGCTGGATCATTCTGCCTGGAAGAGAGATCGAGAGTGCCATGAGAACTCGCTAGAACCTGCTGAGAAAAGGACGCGGGATGTTAGCTACTCCAATGTGGCGTGCTACGACTCGCTGAGCTGCTCGTTCTTTCCGGACGCATTGGCGACAGACAGGCCGTTCAACTCAGTTGGCCTGCATGGAAAGCATGGAATGTCAGGAGTTGAGAATGTTCTCTTCTTGCAGAACTGTTGTGACTCGCCAAAGCAAAAGTCAAGCTCGATTTGCGCCAACGCGAATAGGCAAAGCCTAAATTTCTTTGAAGGTCATACTATCCTTGGCGGAACCTTGTTCGATGAGGCATTGGAGCATATAGAAGAGAGTGACAGAATGGGAAGATCTGGGATATTCAATCTGCAACAGATTTAGCAGTGTTTGCCAAGTTGGTGTACGTGTTCAGTGTATATACGTTGTTGATTTCTATTTTTTTATACACAAAAAATGAATTGACGAATAAAGAGGCTGATATGTGCAAAGAAAGCTTGTTTTAACTGGAAATTTTACAGATGTATCCATGCAGAAACAATTCGATTCGTACGGCTGCTCGAAGGTCGTCTGATGATTGTATCCGGCTCCTCCTTGTAAATATTGTTTCTTGTTGCTGTTGCCACGTTCGTCAAGCTTGCTGTCTCTAGGCCATGACCGCACACTTCTTCTAGATGTGAGTGCAGCTCTGGGAAATCTGGTTGAGAGCCTGACGCACTGTTCGTCAAAACAACAAAACCGCTCTGTTGAGCATAACTGAGAAGGTTGTGAAGCTCTTGCTGGTCCTTCTCATGGTGACAAACTTGCGAGGTTTGAGCTTGATGTTCAACTTCCTTTCTTGTTTCCTCGGGTGCTCCTGAAACGAATGAGGAGAATAAGATGGAGACAATAGGACTGAAAATTGTGGATATCCAATGAACTATGTTGTTCAATAGTCGTTTCCATTGAGGATAGACTGTGGTGCTATTTTTGGTGCTGCTCCGAGCAACAGTGCATTTCCACTTGAGGCTGTCTTGTTGTTTCGTCCACTGAAGTTCTGGTGTGCATGACAGGTTCTCGCGTGGACCTCTCATAGAGACATAATATTCTCCCCATGATATCGACTTGGATTTCTGTCTGGGCTGCAGCCGGCCAAGAGATCGCTGTTTGACAGGGAGTTCTGGCTTCCTAAACTGACTAGGGCGGGAAGATGAAGATCCTTGTGCATCTAGCTTGAATGATCTTGATTGCATGTTCTGATTCTTCTTCGATGCCATCTCTGTGCGGCAATGGTCTCGCTTTCTTGCATCAGCTAGCCAGCAATCAGGGAGGCTCGTCCTTTTCATCCAGCATGCTCGGTCGTGCTCTTGACAGCGGTAATTCTCTCCACTGCATGGATCCATGACCGACGATCGAGATGTCTGAGTCATGGCGAAGTCATTTCTTCTGGCGGGCGCATCTTTGTCGACCTCTGCGCTAGCATACGGCGTCATTGCGTCCGTGCTCCCACTGCCCGGCGCCTCTTGACTTTTTAGTACCGACCTTATAATTTAATATGTGTTTTTGCAAACAAGGAAAATTGTTTTTTTAGATCTAAAATAGTTTTTCCTGGTCGAAAAGATTCATTTCCATGTAGCGATGACTTTAGCCCATCCTTACTACGTATTCGACCAGTGTAAGGCCTCCCGTGAGAGTCAAGCTTTCATAGGGGTAGGGTGGCCACATAAGGGGGGTAGTACCCGGTACTCAAGGTTGTTTATCGTCATCCGCTCGGTCTATTTTTGTTCATGCTTATGGTTATCATTTCACTAGGTCTGTCAATAAGATAAATTGTCTATCCCAATACCCCTGCCATTCCACAGGAGCTCCCCGGTGCTCCGAAACGATGGGGGTTCGTTGATGACACAGCAATAAGTTTTAGGTCCACGTTTGTCTGATGACAGCTCTTCGAAAGTCAAGTCCCCCTCAGAATTGAGAGCGGGCATCATCAAAGGCATCACAACACAACATAGCACATAAATTCGCTGCCTTGAATATAAAGCGTTGCATGTGAAGGACATCTGCCCTGCGGCAGTTCCAACCAAGAGGTTGAGAAAAAATGTCAAAGCTGCTTTTAGCGAGCTTGAATGACGAAAAGCAAAGAAGTGGGATTAAAGCTTATGTTGTGTTGAGCTAACAGATTAGATATAACAGGAAGTTCACTTCCTAACAGAAAGGAAGCCTTGAGGAGCAGCATTGGCATGCAAGTCTCAAGCAACTAGGTTGTTGGAGGCAAGAGAATGCGAGGAGAGCATACAACAAGTGATAGGAGAGAGTCTCAGGCAAAAACATCGAACTCTTTGCTTGACCCTTCATGCGTAAGTGTCCTAGCCGTCAGCAGTAATCTGTCGTGCTCGTTGTGTTCTAGTGAACGCAGCAGTGATTGCTCTGGTGCACTCTCTGACTCCCGAAGATTGTATACACAACATCGTAGAATATGCTCAGGGCAACGTTAGCAGTTGGCCAGTTGTATTTCCGGCGTGTTGATTCTTAAAGCTTAAAAAAAGATGACCTTGACGGTTTTCAAGGTTTATGGCTAGAATAAACCAACAAAACCAGGTGACACCAACATCCTGGAAGTGACTGCAAGTTTTCATAGCATCTTGAGCTCTAGATGACATCGAATCTCATCGGCATCTTGAATTGCTTCAGGTGATCAATGGCCACTTGAAAACCAGTTTCCTTCGTGACAATTATGGTGTCACCATCTGCATCACTTATATCCGAAGACCATCACTTCTCGTGCTCATTGCCAGTATCAAGTTCTACCTGTAAGGAATCTTCATCTTCTGAGGAAGGTATCTTCTGAGGGTGGTTTGGTCCAGCCAACCCTCTCCTTGCAATGAATGCACGCTTTCTACCAACAGCACACGTCACAACAGATTCAGGGGCATCACTCAAACCAATCATACATCTTCTCATACGCGGACCATCCTCGAGATTTGGCGCACTGAGTCAACAAATCAATACAAACAAAAACTCTACAGATCAAGTGCTTTGAAACATGATCGATCACTTACATTCTGTGAGTGTCCCAATGCATGTTGAAATCAAAACAAGGTCAGATCAGCAGGAAGATATGTGATGGTGTCAATCTCTTACGCAGCACTAGTGGATCCATACCAGATGTTGCCATTCGTTGATCAAGACATACCAGAAAATTCAAAATGAATGTCACTCCCTACCGACCGCATCTTTCAATCGCTCTCAGAGTCATGTATTGACCGTGGATCACCGGATGGATAAAATCCGGTGAAACATTTTTGTTTTAAATTATGGAAGCTTCATCTAGTTGCAATTTTTACTCAAAGTTAAGTTGCAATTCATTCTGAGTGATACTGGCCTGAGTCGCCGGGCGACTTCCGATCACACCGGGGCCCGCTCAGTTCCCTCCCCTCAGGCCCCCGCCCCCCGAAAAAAAAAGAATTGACTAGCCGCAAGCCATGCTGCCAATGGTCGCTTCTGAGGGAGCAGCGCTGTGAGGGGGCAGCGCTTCCATGGCGGCAGGCCCGTATCACTTCTGCACACAGTAGGCCGCGCCTCAGGCCCTCCGCTCATCATCGACGGTGAGGCGTCAACCAGGCTACTGAGCCTCGAAGCCACACTGACTGACTCTGAGATGTACCTGGCGTAGTACGGTTGCCGGATCATATCAAAAGTTTAGAGGTGATCATTTTCCAACCTAAAACGGCAAACTTTCGACTTGGTCGCTTGCTGTAAGAAAAGGTGTAAGATGAGCTCGGACAAGATAGGAGGCTACCTCAACGATCTTTCAAAGGTCCGTCCGACCCCCCGCATGATCCAGAGGGTTCGGTCGAGCTTCAGGAAGTCGAAGCAAAGGTCCAACAAGGCTGCCAAGGCAGCGGCTGAGATGCTGGCGATGGACTTACGGGATCAGAGGCTCATCAGGGGGATCAACGGAAGGATGAGCTCAATGCAGACCTACACTACGATCGTGGCGGTAGTCTCCATCTTCCTGGGGATAATGACGAATGAGCTGTGTGTTGCGGGAGAATATCGACTGTATCACACCAACGAGCAATTTGTGGAGGAGATGAGTAAGGAGAGGTGTAACCATGCAAACGCTGTGGAGGCTTGTAAGTTCATCCAGACATTCCTGACCATCTGTCTACTTTCTTTGATTGTCCTCCAATTCCGACTCGGAATTCAGCTGGGGAAAGCAAAGCAAGGACTGGTTGACCGCAAGCACAAGGAGACACGGAATGAAGGGAGCGACATTCAGTTCGTGACGTGGCGTATGAGGATGAAACTAGCTAGCGAGCTCATTCTATGCAGCATCCACACGGTGAGATCTCTTGATCGGATCTTTGCTGAGAGGTTTTGTTGTCTCATTCGAGTTGTTGATATCAGTTGCCGTTGATCAACAACAGCATCAGGGTCGAAATGCTCGGTCAGAGAGTTTACTATCGCATCGATTCGCTCCTGTGCGCCATCCAGCTGCTGCGGGTGTACCATGTGTTCAGAGCGATGAAGTTGACAGTCTTCTACAAGTGCGTGCGAACTTGATTGATGGCTGGGAGTCACTCATCTTGCAGATATTTCAATATGGAAGAGAGCTTCATGCTGAGGGACGAACAAACTCTCAAGATGCTGCAAGACAGTCAGACGAGGTTTGGAATCTTGTCGTTTAAGGTCACCTGTGTTCTAGAGGCTACAACTGCTTCTGTTTATTCTCCTTCAGGTTGCAATTTCCAGGCATCCATTTGCGATGATATCGACGGGTCAGAACCTTGTTGTTGACTATATTTCACCTCTATCTACCATTCAAAGAACTAGATTTCCTTCGCACCCCCTGCCTCTGGATGCATGGATTTCTATCTTGTCTTCCTCCTTGCTCGCACCTCTCTCCCTTCCTTCTTCCCTCCCTCTTTCCCTCCCTCTCTTTCTCTGTCTCTCTCTGTCTCTCTCTGTCTCTCTGTCTGTCTCTCTCTCTCCTCTCCGCCATCTGCTTGCCTCTAGTCTGAACCTCTATCAGGTGCTTTCTTCATGATATGCGTTGTGACCTATCTCTTCCGAATCGCTGAGGTGAGCACAACGATTTCTTTGCTTCGCGCTGATTTCCTTGCGTCCAAGGGCCCTGCCAATCAGCCTCATTCAGCATATATCTGGGATCAGGTGCAGGCTGGCTCTTGCTTCAAGAATTCCTCTCACTATCCATCGACAGCTTTGGTTCATATTCGTCACTTTGACAACTACAGGTTGCCCAATCTTGATTGTGACATGATAACAGCATAATAAGATATACAGGATATGGAGATCTGTCTCCTGTTACACATCTCGGCAGATTTGCAGCTGTTTGCACCATGGGAGTTGGTCCGATCATCGTTGCCTTCATGACTGGTCAAGTTCAAGCTTTCACGTGTTGTTGAGATGCTGAAATTACAGTCTCAGCTTCCATCACAAGGACTTTGAGCCTGAGCACCTTCGAGTCGTATATGATGTACAAGATGGTGATGGTGTCATGACTGTCGTCGGATGGTACGCTGACAGAGATGTGTCGAAACAGGACTGCAATCATCTTCGTTTCAAGGTGAATCCACGTGAATGCTCACGAAGACTCCCTTGCATCCTTCATGTTTGCCTCCTCGTTACTTTTTTGTACCATTCATTTCACTTCTACCTTCTCCTCATGGCATCTCACCGTTTTCCTGGTTCATCCTTGCAGGTTCTCGAGTCAGCTGCTCGCATACTTCAGTTTTGGTGGAGGGCCAAGAAGCTGAGAGACTTCGAGGTCCATGGGAACCATTACTGGCGGAACAGGTCGCAACGACGATCGAGCATCTCAGCTCAAGCTCACATGGAGCAGAAGAGAATCGAAATTTACCGGTCTCAACTCAAACGCTCCTGCACAAGTCCCGCGATGTTCTGATAGTCATGGGAGCATCTAACTGTCGTCTCGTGGAGTCTTGTTTCTTGTTTGCTTTTCTCTTGACTGTGTTGATCTACTACTCTTGACTGTGTTGATCTACTACTCTTGACTGTGTTGATCTACTACTCTTGACTGTGTTGATCTACTACTCTTGACTATGTTGATCTACTACTCTTGACTGTGTAGATCTACTACCCTTGACTGTGTTGATCTACTACTCTTGACTGTGTTGAATCTACTACTCTTGACTGTGTTGATCTACTACTCTTGACTGTGTTGATCTACTACTCTTGACTGTGTTGATCTACTATGTTTGTTGGCTGCTCCTTGTTTCTTTCTTGCTTCTCAGTTTCATTGTGAGTGTGCAAGTTTCTGACACACATCCTCCACGTAGCTCCTTCTACCTCGCCATCGGAAATCTCAAGAGGTTTCACGAGCAGCACAACAACAACGTCCATCACCATGCCGACGTCTCAGATCAACAATCAGGCCAGAAGTTCGTTCCTGCAATGAAGAAGGCGAGGGCACCCTGCAACTTGCAACTCCCACCAAGAGATGAAGAGACGAAGAGGGAGAGGCTGCCGCACGCCGATGTTGACATCAAGAGGCTGTTGAACTTGATCATCGAAGTCAAGGACGGCATGGAGACAATGCAGGTACATCTCCTTCGTATGATCGACCTGCAGCTCACCTGCCCCTTTAACGATTCTATCTCCCTCCCCTCAAAACATCCTTCTCCTCTCCTATTCTCTTCCTCTCCTCCTTTCCCCTCCTCCTCTCCTCCTCTCCTCCTCTCCTCCTCTCCTCCTCTCCTCCTCTCCTCCTCTCCTCCTCTCCTCCTCCTCCTCTCCTCCAGGACGAGATGCAGTCGCTGCGAGAAAAAGTGGACCTCCTCCTCTTGAACCAGCCAACTGCCCACCGTGCCACCGCCGACTCCTCCTCCTCCTTCCTGCAACCTACTCATACCGCCTCACTGCAGTCCTCCGCGACCGAGGACGACAGGGTAATCCAGACACTGGGGAGGAGGTACGCGAGGGAGTATCACGATCTGAAGCCTGCAATCTCCCTACCACCACGTGGACGCTCCCTACCACCACGTGGACGCTCCTCTGTATCAGCTCGAACTGAGCTGGGGGTTGATGGAAACTCGGGCAGTTTCCTGCTCAACAGAGACAACGACGTTGTGCTCTACAGGCACGCGATGAGGGAGCGAGACTGGAGGGCAGGCAGCGAGCCAGTGGAGACTTCCTCTAAGATGTCCTCGGAGCAAGAGGACCCTGGAAGGAGACTGGAAGACAGGAGGCCGCGGGCAAGCTCTGAACCTCCTACCTCCAACCTCGTGCACTGGGAAAGAAAGTTTGACAGGTAAGGAGTCAAAGTTCGTGGACTCGGGAAAACGAGGGAGAGGGAACATGCCAATGGACAGGGAAAGGGTGTGTGTGGATGAATAGGAGGGAAGGAATGAGGAGGGGGATGACGAGGACAAGGATAAGGACGAGGAGCAGGGAGAAGAGGGAGGAGGGAGGAGGGAGGAGGGAGGAGGGAGGAGGGGGGGCTGGAGTTCAAGTAGACGGAGAGAGCAAGCTGGCAAGTGAAGGAGGAAACAAGGGAGTAGTAGGGTGCGAAGGCTCTGGAAAAGTAGAACACGTCAAGAGAAGATAAAGCAGAGCGCCGCGTATCACGATGATAAGATTCAAAGGAGAGATTCAGCAGCACTCAAGAAGTTTCAACCTGAAGAAAGCTTGTTTCACTTACCCATCGTTCTTCTTGCAGCACGAAATCGAAGTATGTTTGGAAGACGTCTACAAGGAGTTATGATACCTGAACATTGTTAGCCGGTTGTGAACGTGTAGAATGTTGACAGTAGAATTTACGAATTCATAGTACTGTTTTGTGTTTCAATGCATTCCTTTGCGTCCTGGCACTTTATCTTTGCACAGATTTCGGCCTGAAGTCATGCAGTAGATGTTCTTGGATTTGAACCAAAAGGTCTTTAATCTCAACTTGCACAAGATAACAAACGTATCATTCAGGAATCATTACAGAAATCATTGAAGCTGCTGTAAGGATGCTGCTTTCATCTGCCCACCAAGAACCCTGATCTGAAGCAAGAGTTGCAATATCTTCTACGGATCTGACATGTCACATCACAAGCGTTCATCTCTGAGGACGAACAACCACAAACTGCATGTCAGATGCTAGCGTTACACGCGCGATTCCTTGGAAGCTTCTGAAAGCATAGGAGACTGCATTTGCTTTGTAAATGTGAGGAATCGCGTCATCAGGGCTCAACTCAGCATGTCGTCTCAGACATCTGAGATACACTCAAGTTGTATCCATTGAGATACGTGCATATCCCACCATGCACTGACACTCTCCTTCGTCCATGGAATGGAACAGTGAAATACATTTAAACCTTCACGGCGCGAATACGTTGAATCCATACACCCGGTTGATGATTACAACCATCCCTATCCATGCGAAGTTGATAAGGATAAAGCCAAATATTCCATAGAAGTACAGCTCAGAGAATTTCTGAGTAATGCTCGGTTGCCTTTCACTGTCCGCACTCGTTTCAACCTCTTCACTGTGTGCGCTTGCAACTGCTTGTAACTCAGTCTCGTTCAGACCGAGGTTGAGGTCGATATCAAACTCTTGCGTGCCCAGCAGCGCATGATCTATGGACACCCTCATTGTCGGCAGCCGCGCCATTGAAGCGTCTGCGTCCTCGGCTTCTGCCATATCCTTCTGCGTCGCCTGGAAGGGAATAATTAAAAAAAGGAATTTATATCAAAATTAAAATATATTTAGCGATCTCATGGTCAAGGAACTTAATATGAACAATACTCTTTTCGATCGATCTTGTCTCCAAAACACACTGTTTAAGAAATGCTGACGTGTTTCGAAGGGTCGCAAGCCCTATCTGCTGAGGCGAGCTTGAGATCGACAAGTTCAAGAGGGCAAAAAGGTCGGAGAATTGCGACGCTACTTGCTGGACCGGTCCTACAAGCGTTCAAACAGGGGGTAGTACGTGACCCTACAGTTATGGCAAGCGGCGTCCGGCGGGCCGCTGTTACTAGCGCCCCTCCGTACTCAGTGCCACGGTGTGCGCCGGGTGTGAGGCTTACGTACTCGGAGGCTCAGTATCCCATAGCCTGGGCCGCGCCTGACTCTGTGAGAGTCGAGTCGCTCAGTGACGGTGAGTGGCGTCACTGAGTGGGGGCCCTGAGGCACGCTGATCGGACCGGCGGGCGCCGTGGGCGCGGCCATGCCCCGCGGCCACGGTGGACACTGTTCAATTTACGGTTGTCCTGCAGGAGGCCCTGGATCAGCTCTTTAAGCGCTTCCCCCTGGTCGGGGTCGAGAGCGAACACTTTGGCAACAGCATGCGCTGCTGCCTTGCGGACGTAGGGCGAGCTGTCGCGGACACACTGCTTGATCGCCATCACCTGCAGCTGAGCGATGAGGGCGACGCGGATGCTCGTCATGACGTGCAGCGCAGAGGAGCGGATGAGCTGGTTGGTGTCGGACAAGTCCTTCTGGAAGGTGTTGATGGTGAGGAGAGCCTCGTTGGACTTGAGCTCAGCGTATTGGAGGGTGTGGGCACGACAGCGGCACTGCGGGAGCCTTGCGATGATGAGGGTTGGTTCTCTCTGTCTTTTCTTTCACCAGTATACGGGCAGTGCGACACTGATTGTAGTCAGGTTCAAGCCACCTCGACTCTCCTGATACCGTTGGTACTCGAGTTGTGATAGTTTGCCAGACTGAGCTTCAATCCCTTAGGCTGTTTACGCAGTTCCGACATCGAACATGCCATACTGGTATGGCGATGACATGGCAAGTGATAAGTACAAAACATCAGTTTTCATGTTTCGCAGGTCTTCGCCCTGATCAGCGATGGCTGTGAATCATTCTGTGCAATCTGTCCCCAAAACTTGAAAACCACGGCTCAGTGGAGCGATGGTTGTGAGCATATTCGATGACATGCCTTTTTTGAATGACAAGAAAGCAAGAGGAGAAAAGACATTTAATTTTGATAATAATGTTGTTTATATCATCTTACGCTCAAGAACATAATCAATGCCATCCACACAAAATTAATTAATGCCATTCCTCCCACCAAATATGTTGTCCCCATTGTCCAGGTTGGATCATCTACTGGAATGTCATTCTCAACAACAATGGTCTGGCCTTCAGATCCTGAAAACGCAGCCATTTCCTCTTCCTTCGTGTACTCAATAGGGATCTCGACTTCAATTTCCTGCCAGCCGTACAGGGCATGCTCAACCATAGCACGGATACACTTGGTTTCGCAGCATCTTTTTGAGAGGCGGCGTGTTGATCTGAAGGAACAGGAGCTCACAAGTCTTTGCTGGGCAGGTTCAGAGCAAACAGTATCAGCTTCTTCGATATGCGCAGCAGCAGGTTGAACGGTTGTTGCCATTGTGTAATCGTGGGTGCTGGCTAGCGTGTTGCGATTGCGAAGGCTTTTATGGCCTGCTGTAGTAAAAACACCCTTTTGGGGATTAGAGGAAGAGCTTACAGGATGGTTGTAAGCCCTGCAGACGTCGGTTTGTCATCATTGGCACGGTACGAGAATGCTGACACAAGTAGCAACGTTTGCAACCAAACGTTGCTTGTTGAAGACGTCGTTTATCATGATCAGTGTCAGCAGATGCCCATGAGCCTGAACGGAACATGCTCGCCTCCGAATGGTATATAGTAACAGCACGAAGGCAGCAAATATCTTCATAGCAATTAGTTAGAGTTTGAATTGAGCTTTTTGCGGCAGCTCCCAACAACAGACGGTCACGGGATCACCCTTGCTGTCACGAGGTCAAGAGTCTCGGCTCACGGCCGAATCACGCACTAGTGTGACCGTACAGTCAGTCACGGCACAATCTCAGTGATAGCAGGGCCCACCGGGCCCGGGCCCGGGCGGCAGCCGCGGGCCGGACCCGGACGGTTACACGAATCCAAACTGTTTGAGAATTCGTAACCGGTCGGTGCTTCGTCACTCGGGCAGCGCCTGTGCATGCAGCGCAGCTGAGCGGTGAGTGAAGAGAGGAAGAGAAGGGGGGGGTGGAGGGAGGACAGGAGGACAGGAGGACAGGAGGGCATGAGGACAGGAGGACAGGAGGACAGGAGGACAGGAGGACAGGAGGACAGGAGGACAGGAGGACAGGAGAAGACCGAGGAGGAGGAGAGAAGACGAGGAGTGGAGGAGAAGACGAGGAGTGGAGGAGAGGAGGAGAGGAGAGAAGGAGAGAAGGAGAGGAGGAGGAGAGGGGGGAAGGTAAGGAGGGGGAGAGGAAGAGAGGAAAGGAAAGGAGAGTATAAGTGGAGCAATTGAGGGGACATGAATATTGACAGATATGAGAGAGGATGAATGAAGCGAAGGGGTTTGGAGGATACTTGCAGGATGCTTAGCAGAAGAATATTTAGAAGTGCAAAGACGAATGTTGAGGAGAGGGGAAATATGGTGGGGAGCTCATCAGGTGAGAGAGGTAAAGGTTCGAGTAAAGTCGCAGATGAGATGCGGAGAGTGTATAAGGAGCTGATGTGAACGGCCCTGCTTGTTGCACAAGCATCAACTCTTGCTCCTGCTCCTCGGGGACATCATCGGCCTCGTTCAAGAGATGCAAAGAGTGATGAGAACAGCAGATCAACAAGGGGAAGAATGTTTTAGTGAGTGAGCAGAAGAGGAGGGGAAACAGTAAGCAAGCTAGAACATCTTTTTCATTCCCGTATCCTAAGTTCTCTAGCTCTGTGCAAGTATCATTCTGTAGCTGCTGGTATCCTTAGTGTCATCTGGGTAGGATTGCGGTTGTTGTGCGATTGCAGATCACTTTGAGTTTTTAGACGGCCGTGTCCTCCTCTCATATTTGGATCTTGCAGGCTGGTCGTGTGCTGCTGGAGGCTGTAGAGCTTTAGAGGGTCGGCGGAAAAGTTTTTCACAATGTCTCTGAGCGATGCGCACTACTTCGAGGAGATGGGAGTCAAGAAGTACGAGGAGATCCGACGGCTGCTGGACTCTCGTGAGAAGAAGGACAAGCTGGAAGGGATGAAAAGGCTGATGGCCATGATTTCCATCGGCAGAGATGCATCTAACTACTATCCGGACGTCGTCAAGAACGTTGTGTCTGACTCGCTGGAGGTCAAGAAGCTGGTCTACCAGTTCCTCATTCACTACGCTGAGCTCAAGTCCAACGAGGCTCTCCTCACCATCAACACCTTCCAGAAGGACTTGTCCGACACCAACCAGCTCATCCGCTCCTCTGCGCTGCGCGTTATGACGAGCATCCGCGTCGCCCTCATCGCTCAGCTTCAGGTGATGGCGATCAAGCAGTGTGTCCGCGACAGCTCGCCCTACGTCCGCAAGGCAGCAGCGCATGCTGTTGCCAAAGTGTTCGCGCTCGACCCCGACCAGGGGGAAGCGCTTAAAGAGCTGATCCAGGGCCTCCTGCAGGACAACTCCACCATGGTGCTCGGCAGTGCGGTGGCGGCGTTTAATGAAGTTTGCCCGGACAACTGGGACCTGATACATCCCAACTTCAGGAAGATGGTGCGGCTGTGCGCGGACACGGACGAATGGGGGCAGATTATGCTGCTGAACATGTTCACTCGGTACGGCAGGAAGTTCTTCCTCGACCCGTCGACCCTCGAGAAGGAGCCCAAGGACACCAACGATGATGGGGAGAAGAAGAAGAAGAAGAAGAAGAAGAAGAAGGCCTTCTACTCCGACGATGAATCGTCGAAGAGCAGTAGCAGCAGCGAGTCAGAAAGCTCTTCTGAGGACGAGGATGAGGAGCCAGAGCTTGATCCGGACCACGCCATGCTCCTCTCGTCAACCCTCCCGCTGCTGAGGAGCAGAAACGCCGGAGTGGTGATGTCAGTGGCGACTCTCTTCCATTACCTGGCACCTCGAGCACAGGTGGCCAAGGTTGGAAAGAGCCTGGTCAGGGTGCTCAAGAACAATCGAGAGACGCAGTACCTGGTCCTCAAGAACATCGCTACTCTAGTCCTCAGCCGCCCGGAGATGTTCGATGGATCCGCCAAGGAGTTCTTCCTGCGGGCGCATGACAGCACGGCCTCTGCCCTGCTCAAGCTGGAGGTCTTGTCCCAGCTTGTCAACGAGAGCAACTCCCAGCTGATCATGCGCGAGTTCAACGCCTACATCAAAGACACGTCGAGAGATACCGTACTCATCGCTGCCACCATTCAAGCCATCGGCAGGGTCGCGGCCTGGCACCCTTCGCTCACCGACACCTGCCTGCGCGGCCTGATGACTCTCATCTCCAACTCCAAGAACGAGCAGATGGTGGCAGAGAGCGTCGTCGTCGTCCGAGCTCTCGTCCAGCAAGCTCCCGAGCAGCGGGTTCGCATCATCAAGCAGCTCATCAAGCGCCTGGAGAACATCAAGGCTGCCCCGGCTCGCGCGAGCGTCATCTGGATGGTGGGGGCCTATCACAACCTGATCCCTCAAGTCGCTCCTGACGTCCTCCGCGAACTCCTCAAAGTCTTCAAGACGGAGAGCACGCAGGTGAAGCTCCAGATCCTCAACCTGTCCTGCCGCCTGTTCCTCACCGAGCCCGACACGTGCACGCCCATGTTCGTCTACGTCCTCGACATGTCGCGCTACGACACGGACTTCGACATCCGCGACCGAGCCCGCATGATGCGCACCATCCTCTTGACGGACAAGTGCGACAAGCTCAAGGAAAAGGCGTCACAAATCTTCCTCGGGGAGCGCAAGGCCCCGGAGTTCTACGCGCCCTCGAGGGACAGCGAGTCGTTCTCGCTCAACTCTCTCTCGCACGCCGTCAGCCATCACGTGGCAGGCTACATCGAGATCCCCGACTTCCCCGAGGACGTGCCGGATGGGTCCATCCGGGACCCGATCATCTCCTCGTCGTCGGAACGGTCGGACAACAAGACGAGCAGCAAGAAGGACGAGAAGAGGATGAAGAGGGAGGTCAGTGACTTCTACAAGGAGTCTGACAGCAGCGGGTCTGAGGACGACTCGAGCGACAGCAGCGACGGGAAGGGCTCGTCGGACAGCGACAGTGACAGCGACTCTTCGTCCTCCAGCGACGACTCTGACTCCTCCAAGGGAAGCAGCTCCGACAGCGACGACTCGGCGCGGGAGAAGAAGGCCAGTCAGAAGAAGAAAGCTTCTGCCAAGAAGGCGAAGCAGGAGGAATCGTCCTCGGACACGGACTCCGACTCGGACGACTCCGACTCCGACTCTGACTCGGACAGCAGCACGGAGAGGAGGAAGAAGAAGCAGGAGGAAGCGAAGAAGAAGGCCAAGGCGGCAGAACAGAAGGCTGCGGCAGCCAAGAAGGACGCGCCTCCTCCCTCCAAGAACAAGTCCAAGGAGGAGAAACCCAAGGCAAAGGCGCAGGAGCCGGTTGCTTCGCTCATCGACCTCGGAGACCAGCAGGGCGTCTCGTCGCTGCTGGATACTTCTACTCCCTCCTCCGCCAAGCCCCTCACCCTGCAGGTCGAGACGTCGGGAGGGATCTCGCCGCAGGGCTCCAAGCAGGCTGCGGCGACGCCGACGGGCAAGGCAGCAGCGTCGATGCTGGACAAGGACAAGTTGCTCGTGCACAACCTGCTGCACTTCGCCAACGGGGGAGGGCTGAACGTGGAGTACTGCTTCACGCGAGAAGAGAGCATGTACGGTGTTGGGATGAACACAGTCAAGCTCTCCCTGCACAACACAACCAACGTGCTGATGCAGAACGTGAGGATCGGAGACAAGAGACTCGAAGCGGTGAGGCTGCTTGCTCTCGATGGAGGTGTTGGTGCTGATGCGTCGGCTGGCAGGGGATGGAGCTCGAGCCTTTCTCCGACGTCGCTCTTCTCCCTGCCTCCTCCACCAACTCCGTCAAAATCCACATCAACTTCGGGGGCAAGATGAGGTCTGCCAAGTTCGACCTCGTCACGGATAAGGTGAGAAACCTCCTCTCCTGCTGGGGTGGAGCTGAGTCAGACGCGCAGGGAACGTACCCGGTGGCCCTGACACCCTCAGCTGGGGAGCTGGTGAACCCGCTGCTGCTGTCGGAGCCCGAGTTCGACGAGCTTGCAAAGGGTCTGCGAGGGATGCACGAATGCAAGCTGACCCTCCCCCCTGTCGATGACAAACCTGCGGAAGAGATCAGAGAGAAGGTTGCGGAAGCCTTTCCCTCATCGCTCTCCTTCTCCTCCCTCCTTCTACTCCCTCCTTTTTCCTCCTTTTCCCCCTTCCATCTACTTCTCCTTCCCTGACGTTACCGCGCAGGTTTTGTTGCTTTGTAATATGTATCCAGTGGACAGCCAGACCGAAGGCATCTATAAGGTAGGAGGAGGAGGAGGAGGAGGAGGAGGAGGAGGAGGAAAAGAGCTAACATGGGACAGTTTGCGGGAAGAGATCTCGGAGGAGAGGCGAAGAACGTCGTGCTGGTGGCGCTAGACGTGCAGGTGGGTGGTTGGCCTGAAGCTTGCGGGATCTGACAGCCAGCAGGGAACGCTGGTGGGTAGGAGTGAGAGCACGCTGCTGAGCCGGCAGATCGTCAAGGTAACTCAGAGGAGACCCGATCGGCTGCGAGCTTAATATGCCATGGCAGGAGCTGAAGGATGCCTTCTTGAAGTAGCCTCCTCATCTTCTCCTCCTCCTCTCCTCCTCTTCCTCCTCCTCTCCTCTGCTTCTCTTCTCTTACTAAAGGCGTTGTCGCAACTTCTCGACTCTTTCTCTCACTCGCAAACACTCCAACTTTCAACTGAGCAGCAGCATCCCGCCAGTCTCTACCTGCTCCCCAGCAGGGGCCATGGCAGTACCAGCACATGCTGCTGGTGCTCCTCTAGTCTGGCAGCAGACAGGCCCAGCAGCTCCTCTATCCTCCCTTCCCCCCTTCCCCCAAGTATCAGAATGAAAGTGTGTGATTGATACACATGGTGAAGATTTCAAATCTGCAAGTAAGAATGCGTATGTCTCTTCGAATATATTCAGCTCACTTGAAGTCATTCACTCGCAAGACTCTCCTCCTCTCAACATTCACCAGCATGATCATATTTTTACCATCAGCCTCCTGCAGATGTCTTTGTAAAGGTCCTGCACCATCGGTCAGTGAGCGCGACATGGAGTTTGTAGTCTACGTTGTCCCCAGAGACTAGGTCTGAAACAAGCAGCAGAAGATTATCTTTGACCTCTTGGCCGTTGACTGGTTTGACCATACAGAGCAGTCAACGGCAAGAAACGTTTTTGATCGGCACAACTCACTCGCAACAATCTTGGAGAAGCGGAAGGAGAACCTGACTTTGTTCTTCTCTCCTTTGATGGAGCAAGAGTTGCTCGACCGGATGGTGACCTACAAGGGTTGTCATCATCCCAGCAGCAGATCTTGGTTGCACAAGAGTTTGTCGGCACCTTGTACTCTGTTAAAAGTTTGATCATGTCGCCGACAGCTTTTGCAAGCTCCTGTCAAGACTCTCAGATAAGGATACAGCTGGGGCATCAGAGCTCTGCCTTGGATGTGACATTCGCCAGGTTTGAGCTCTTCTCAGCTCCTCTCAGCAACTGCATCTCCTCGGAGGCCTCCACGGAGATGCTGAGACATCCAGTAAGATCGACGAGATGTAACGTGTACCAGCACCGTCTCTTGGGTGACTTGTAGATGCCGGAAGCACTTGTATCCCCCGATCGTTTGGTGTTGAACAGCTGCCTCTGTCTCGATGGCTCACGCGTGGAAAGAAGCGTGAAGAACCAAACATACCATGGAGTTAGTCTGTGAAGCATTGCACCACAACGCAATGTTCTTGTTGTCGTGTGTTTGTGAGATGGCAGACTCGTGGTCCTCTGACTTCACTCTCAGGTCAATCCAAAATCGGTTTCCTTGGGCTCGCCCTGCAAGAAGTTGCTCAGCAGGTCCAACGAGTAACGGGGCACCAGACCTTGAGCATAGTACTGGTGGGGCAGGGAGTTAGGGAAGAGAAGCTCGTAGGCTACGTCAGGCAATGGCTGCACAATGGCCGCCTTCGTGCTCGTCGGTTGATCCTCCTTCCCAGGCTCGAGGTTGAACGAGGAGAAGTCACTCTGCAGGCGAGTCAGGGGCGAGCAGAGGGGATAGGAAGGATGACCACTATCTCCTGATCGAACTCTTCTCCGAGGTCGATGAACCTGTCGTTCATGACTTGAATCCAAGGATGCTCCCACGCCTGCATCCAGTCGGTGGGTCATCGTCGGGCAGCTCTGGACCTGCTCACCTTGCTGATGTGGATGCGCTTCTTGGAGTCGATCTTCATGAAACCTCGGATCAAGTCCGAGACCTCTGCAAGATCGTCAAACATCCCCAGCACATCGTCACCAAGACCTGGGGAGCAGGAGGATGGGATGCTGTATATTCCTTTCTGTATCTTGTTGAACCTGAGGGCACAATCAAGTCAATGAGATCAAGGCAACCGGCGCCGCAGCTTACAGCTCTGGTTGGTTGTCTGCTCTGAAGGGACACCTCCCGACGACGAGGGTGTAGAGAGTCGCTCCCAGACTCCACAGGTCTATCGCTATTCCATCGTACTTCTGGCCCATGATGATTTCCGGTGCAGCGTAACTGACAGTCAAGTCATCCTTACTGTCCCGCGAGTCAAGATTCTCACCATGGGGTACCACAGATGGTCTTGAGAAGCTCTCCGGGTTTGATGTCATTGCTCAGCCCAAAGTCGGCAATCTTGCAGACGTACTTGCCAAAGTCCTGCTCTACCAGCAAGATGTTCTCAGGCTTCAGATCGCGGTGTGAGATCTCCTGCCGATGGCAGAAGTCAACCCCGCTCATGATCTGGGTGAAGAACTGCCGGGCCTCCAGCTCTTGTAGCTTCCCCTTGGAGACGACATAGTTGTACAGCTCTCCCCCACTCGCAAAGTCGAGGACAAGAAAGAGCTTCGTTCCTCTCTCGATGCACTCGTGCATTGATATGATGTTAGGGTGGGAGATGTTCTTCAGCACATGCATCTCCCGCAAAACCCTCTCCAGGTCCTTCACGTTGTGGATCCTCGACTTGTCCACAATCTTGACAGCAAAGACCTGATTCGTTGACACATGGGTAGCGAGCCTGACCTTGGAGTATGCTCCTGCCCCGATCACCTTCCCCAGGTCGTAGAACCCGATGTTCTTTGTGTCTCCTTCCTCCCTCTTGTCTGTTGCGGCGCTCGACATGGCTCACGTCTCACAAGCTTACGACTCTGCACAGCATGGAAGATGGGAGAATACGCTGCTGGCGCTATCCAAGTCTGCTGCCACACTCATGAGAGCGGTTGCTTTCCTCCATCGCCGTTGCAACTTGTTCACCTTACATGTATCAAGGCAGCAACTCGAGCTGAAACGCTTTCATGGCAACACGTCTCCTTCCTCTCCTGCTCAATGACTGGTGCCTCCTCTTTCCCCTCCTTCCCTCCTGCTCCTCAGCCCTGCCGCCCCACCATGGAGGCCCCCAGAGCGGCAGTCGGACAACGCGGCATGCGGAGCTCAGCCAGTCTGACGATCCGATCCGAGCCCGCCTCAAGGATCCAGCAGCTGACAGTCAACCGGACCTAACTGAACTCATCATATCTCAGTCACACGGCACGGTGGCCGGGCCCGCCGGGCCACCGTGGCACGTTCGGAAGTTCCGAAGTGACACCCCCGGCCCCGCTGGTGTACGGTGACTCAAACTTCACCGTCAGCTCAGCTGGTGATCATCGGACGTCGGACCGTGGCAGTCCGACTGCCACGGGGGCCACCAGCGCCACCCCGTGGGGCCGGGCGGCCGGGGTGACTGCGGGCCGGGCCGGGGCGGGCAGCCTCACGGTGAGTCCGATCACGGCACCGTCGGTGGTGCGGCCTGGGCCCGGCGGGCGGCCGCCCGGCGCCGCTCAGCCCCGGCCGGGGGGCTCGGAGGCTCACTGCCGTGAGTCACGGATGCTCGGAGTGTCCGACCCCCAACTTGGCAAGCTGAGCCGCTGAATCACGGCGGATCCGGCCGCCGCGCCCCCCCGGGCATCCGATCCGACCGTGCCCGGGGCCCGGGGGCGACTCGCCGAGTCGTCGAAGCTCAGGGGCTCAGTGCCCGGGCCCCGGCGGGTGTGGCAGCGGCCCCCCGGAACTTCAAGGTGACTCTGGGACCCGGGCCGGGCCGGCAGCCGCGCCGGAGATCGGATGGGCCTGATCCGAGCCTGCCAGCCGGACCGTTAAAGATCACTGGCATGGATTCCGGGTCCCAAGACTCGGCCGTCCGACTGAGTCAGGGTGAAAAAAATGATCTTTCATGCGGGAATCGGAAATTCGCTCTTGTCAGCCTCTGGGAGCCCAGTGGGCGGCCAGAGAGACTCAGTCCGAACTCAAGTTGGCGGACCGCACCGTCCCACCCAACGGCCTTGAGTACTTAAAGCCGCCTCCGAACCGTTTGCCGGAAACATCAAGTATCAGTGGCAGGAATGAAGCTGCGGTACGGTAGAAGATGCCAGAAGACCCGAGCACATTCAGTCAGTGTCATTTACAATGTATTGCAGTCTCCCAATCAAAAATAAAATTACAGCTTCTACGCGCAAAAAACCTAGATGGCCTCGGAGAGCCTCAACCCTCATACTGGTGACCGCGCGGACCAACTTCAACATTCACCATCACATCTCTCGGTCTAACGCAGCCCGAGCGCGCTTGCCTCCCCTCTCCTCCTGCTCGTTCCTTTTCGCATCTCTCCTCTTCTGCGACCGCTCCCTCGCCTTGTCGGTGATCTGCTTGTACTTGGCCACTGCCTCCTGGCAGTACTTGAGAGCAACCTTGTATTGCCTGTCTCGCTCGTCCAGGTACATGGACGCCTTGAAGTCGTTGATGAGGTTGTCTCCCTTGCGCTTGGTGGTCCCCGTCATCAGCCCAGCCTGCAGCATCATGTTCGTCACGTCGTTGCTGTAGTCCGACCGGCTCATGTCGTGCGCCCTCTTCTCCTTCCCGCACTGCTGCACTGCCAGCTTCACGTCGCGAGCGACCTCGTTGAAGCTCGTGTGGATGTCCTCCATGTCCGGCACAGACCCTGGCTTGCGTGGTGTGACCACGACCGTCAATCCGCACAGGTGGAAATGTCTGCCCTCGCGCATGTACACCATCCGTCTCCCCTCCACCGCCAGCTGCTTGCCATCGCCGGAGTAGTCGATCTCCTCCATCGTCACGCCCCCTCCTCTAGCCAAGGCCATCTCGATGAAGCGATGCTCGAGACGCTTGGACTCCTCCTTGTCCAGTACGAGCTGGTACTCTTCGATGCCCACCCGCGTGCGGACGCTCTCTTCCTGCATGATCGCCTCCTGCTCACCCGCCTCCTGCTGTCCTGCCTCCTGCTCGATCAGCATCTGCCGTATCAAGCCTTGATCGTATTCTGGTTCCTCCTGCTTCACGCTATTACTCAATGCGGCGTGAATGCTGGGTCCGTTGTAGAGGGCCTCGCTGTGGTGCTGCACACTTTGCAGGGTGTTGTCCAGAAGATCATCGATCTCAAACCCCTGCAGATAGTCATCCAGGCAGTCATGGGAGAGCTGTGCTGTATCGTAGAGGATATGGGTGTCAGTGTCCCTCGGCAGCCAGAGCTCGAGCTCGTCGTCTTGCATGGTAGAGTTGTACATGTCGGTGGAGGTTTGCTGGAGGAGGGGAGGTGCTGAATATACAGAGCTGGCTCCTACCCCTACCCTTGAAGTATCTCGGTCGATCATCCCTACCCCCTCTTACGAGCAATGTTGGCACAGGGAGGATGGCCGTACGTAGAACCCGTCCTTGGGACTACTTGTACCCCCTGTTGGTCCAATGGGAGAGGTAGGGGTGATATGCAGAGCCCCCTGTTGGTACCAGGCATGTGACATGGGGGTCCCAGTCTACCCCTCATTGTCGATGTTTCGATCACCCTACCCCCTCGTTTCTGAGATCCCACGAACGGGGACAAACCATCCCTCCAGTTCCTGGTCACAAATCTCGAGTTCCTGGTGACAAATTTATTTATTTAATTTGAAATATCCAGATATAATTTGAAACAATGATGAAAACATAGTTTAGCAACATGGACTAGACACCCGGTACCCAGTTCGAACCCTCAGGACCGGGTGGATAGGATCCCCATGTCACATGCTTGGTACCAACAGGGGGCTCTGCATATCACCCCTACCTCTCCCATTGGACCAACAGGGGGTACAAGTAGTCCCAAGGACGGGTTCTACGTACGGCCATCCTCCCGTGCCAACATTGCTCGTAAGAGGGGGTAGGGATGATCGACCGAGATACTTCAAGGGTAGGGGTAGGAGCCAGCTCTGTATATTCGGAACCTCCCCTCCTCCAGCAAACCTCCACCGACATGTACAACTCTACCATGCAAGACGACGAGCTCGAGCTCTGGCTGCCGAGGGACACTGACACCCATATCCTCTACGATACAGCACAGCTCTCCCATGACTGCCTGGATGACTATCTGCAGGGGTTTGAGATCGATGATCTTCTGGACAACACCCTGCACAGTGTGCAGCACCACAGCGAGGCCCTCTACAACGGACCCAGCATTCACGCCGCATTGAGTAATAGCGTGAAGCAGGAGGAACCAGAATACGATCAAGACTTGATACGGCAGATGCTGATCCAGCAGGAGGCAGGACAGCAGGAGGCGGGTGAGCAGGAGGCGATCATGCAGGAAGAGAGCGTCCGCACGCGGGTGGGCATCGAAGAGTACCAGCTCGTACTGGACAAGGAGGAGTCCAAGCGTCTCGAGCATCGCTTCATCGAGATGGCCTTGGCTAGAGGAGGGGGCGTGACGATGGAGGAGATCGACTACTCCGGCGATGGCAAGCAGCTGGCGGTGGAGGGGAGACGGATGGTGTACATGCGCGAGGGCAGACATTTCCACCTGTGCGGATTGACGGTCGTGGTCACACCACGCAAGCCAGAGTCTATGCCGGACATGGAGGACATCCACACGAGCTTCAACGAGGTCGCTCGCGACGTGAAGCTGGCAGTGCAGCAGTGCGGGAAGGAGAAGAGGGCGCACGACATGAGCCGGTCGGACTACAGCAACGACGTGACGAACATGATGCTGCAGGCTGGGCTGATGACGGGGACCACCAAGCGCAAGGGAGACAACCTCATCAACGACTTCAAGGCGTCCATGTACCTGGACGAGCGAGACAGGCAATACAAGGTTGCTCTCAAGTACTGCCAGGAGGCAGTGGCCAAGTACAAGCAGATCACCGACAAGGCGAGGGAGCGGTCGCAGAAGAGGAGAGATGCGAAAAGGAACGAGCAGGAGGAGAGGGGAGGCAAGCGCACTCGGGCTGCGTTAGACCGAGAGATGTGATGGTGAATGTTGAAGTTGCTCCGCGCGGTCACCAGTATGAGGGTTGAGGCTCTCCGAGGCCATCTAGGTTTTTTGCGCGTAGAAGCTGTAATTTTATTTTTGATTGGGAGACTGCAATACATTGTAAATGACACTGACTGAATGTGCACGGGTCTACTTGACAATCAAGCATCCATGACACATCATTTTGAGACAAGTTGAACAAACAATCCTTCAACATGCATGTACACTGTGTTTGCTTTGTTTTCTTCTGTTTAGGACTCAATTTCCTCCTAGTATCCGCCTTCCTGCCTGACTGCAAGTTTACCTGCCTGACTGCCCGTCTGCCTTTTTGCCGTCTTGTTGGCACTTTAACGATCCGTTTGATCTTATGTGCCTGCCTGTCCTTTCGTTCTCCCGACTTCCCCACAATCCTCATTCATACCATACTCCAACTCCTCTTGTCTTCTTTCATCCACCTTGTTCATCAACTTGACTTTGTCGAACTGTACGTCACAACCTGCCTGCCATCGATAATTATAGTTGCAACTCCCTTCCAACAAGCACTTGCCTCTTTGTCCTTACGAAACATGACACCATTCTAAGTATCTGCATTGTGTCCTCTTTCTGAATCTCTCTTTCACTCTCCTGCTGTCTTCTTCAGCATCATTCCCTTCCCCTCTCTCAGATCTTCGCCGCTGACGGAGACATGTTTAATTGCCCCAGTGTGGGATATTTGGTTTTGAAAATTTGATCTCTGTTTTGTTGTCGGGGGGCAGTGTGTCACAAAATTGAAACTTTAAGGCTTATTTAATCATTTGTTTTCAAATATACAGTAAAAACAATTCAATGGTGAATTAGTTTTGATGTCTACGTGAAATATCGAGAAAGCGCCTCCTAGTCCAAGCGCGGGAAGGATCATGGCAGCGCCGACGTGCGCATGCCGCGAGCTCGGGAGGTTCGAGCCCAGTGGTCGGCGATGGCTGTCCGGGTCAGCGACGACTGTAGAGAGCAGCGAGCAGGTGAAGTCACTCCGATCCTCTCCTGAGCTTGCATGTGCGGCATGCTGGCTAACTTGTGCTGTTAGGGCGCGACACGGCACGTTTCAGAAAGCTACTTCCTGTATCCGTCGCAGAGAGACAGCTGGTCCATCGAGGAAGAGCTGTACATATCAGACAGGAAAGTTACGTGGAGCTCCGGGTCCAGGCCCGTGAAGAATTTCAGCTTCGAGGCACCTGTGCTACAGGCAGTATGGTGCAGTTTCCAGGGAGGGCGAATGGAGGATGAGATGATGGATCGACAGAGCAACACGCTCGATCAGCTACCTGAGAACGTTTATCTTTGTGTTCTGATGAAGAACGAGCTTGCCGTGCACTCGTCTGATGGAGAAGAATACACCGTCTCCCTCCCTTTCCACGCGGTATGTTGGTGGAACTGTGTTCTTTTTGGCTGCTTCCGCTTTCAATCTGTTGCCGTCTTTCACTCCATCCATGTCGTCTTGTGACTCGTTTCTGCACGTGCAGACTAGGATGTGGGAGACTTCCGCAAGCTACTTGCTGATCGAAGCGGAGAATGAGAATGCGAACGGGCCGAGGATATTCAGCCTTTTGCATCCTCTCGCAGAACCAAAACCAGTTGGAATCTTGCAGGATGGCAAGCTGGACATTCTCCGACTCTCCTCATCTAAGGTCCCCTGCCTTGCGACAATGGTGACTGCACTGCCTCACTGTTGTGTACACGGCACAGGTGGAGAAGGTGTTTGACTGCGAGCAAGTGTTCTCTTCGGACGAAGCGTTCCTCCCCGTCCTCATGACTTTTGACGAGACGTCCCGAGAGCGAGTCATCTGGGCCGTGAGCCGCCTTCCCGACAAGCAGTGGACTCCTGGTGAGCTAGGGCCCTTGCCGTGCCTACCCATCATGACGCCTCACTGCAGCTACGACGCACCTGGCATGCTCGAGCTCGGGAGGCATCTCCTATGAAGAAGGGGATGCAGTCGCCATGGTCTACTCCCACCAGTTCGGATGGACAGCATGCGGGAGCATCGGGCTTGGAGCAGAGATCCGGAAGGACTGGAGGCCTAGTCACTGTGAGGTCGTGGTGAAGCCGGTGTGGAGAGCAGCGGGATCCGTGGAGTCGAAGACAGCGATCATCTACTCACAGTCTAACGACGATATGTTCCTCGGGTTGTTGCAGCCTGATGACAGGATGGCGGTCTACTCCGTCACATTTCGAGATGAGACCGCTCAAGATTTCAAACTTTCAGATCACAACCCGTCGGGATTCAAACCCCCAGACCACAACCCGCGAAATTTGAAGCTCTCGGACCACACCCTCCAGTTCAAGAGCAGGTTGGCCGAGTCAAAGTTTGTTCCCAAGAAGATCATCAACAGCGTTGCTCAAGTGACAAGCATCGAGGCGATGTGGGGGATCAGCATTTCTGACAGCACCTCAGTCGAGAAAGCTGCTCTAGCCCTCGTCATCAGCAACCAGAATGAGCTCATCCTCTACCAGGCCTTGAATCCCCTCTGTAAACTGCGACTCAGGGCTCCTTCCTCTAAGTACACCAGACTGTCGAACTCCGTCTGTGGGAGGGTGAACGTTGAGACGGAGGACGGACAGTGCTTCCGCTTCCAAGTCCCGTATGCCTCCTGCTCCCTGTCGCGCAGTGTGCTTGTCCAGATCCGGAACAACATGAGCGATGACTTCTACCTGTACAGCAGGAGATGCATGCTCGCGCTGGAGTGGGGGGTCGTGGATGGAGAGAGCTGCCGCGACGGTCCAGGAGGAGAGTGGGGCTACCTAGCTGGAGTCCTGCAGGCCTTGATCGAGCAGCTGAAAATCCCGAGACACTTTGACGCCAGCGACGACTTTGACACGATGTTCCCAACCAACTCGATGCAGACTTCGTCCTCCTGGGAGCTCCTGCTGCAGTCTGAGTTCCACCTGCAGCAGCACAAGGGCGGGTCTCTGCCTCGTCTCCTCGCCGACTCGTGCCCTGGCGCCAGCAAGCCGTCCAGGTCGACCTGCTGTGTCTCGGACGTCCTTCTCTCGCGCTGGAGGGAGGCGAAGCTGCAGGTCTCGCCCGATGCCCTGACAGCGGAGCTGAGAAAGCTGCTGCTGGCGCTTCACCTCCTCTACGAGGACGTGAAGCTCAACGTGCTAATGCACGGTCAGCTTGTCAAGCTCGGCAGGCTGCTCCTGTTCCTGTCCTGCTCGCTGGGAGCGAAGAGCTACTGCGACTACTACATTCGCCATCACCCCGAGCTGAACAGCCTGGTAGGCGAGAAAGCCCTTTCTCAGCTGCTCATGGCCAAGACCGACGGGCTGGCGGACAAGATCCCGGACATCTGCCGGTGGGTCTGCGATCAGCTTGACGGCTACTTCCCCTCCCCAGAGGAGTTTGTCGACCCCAGCAGCAGGGTCCTCCCCATGACCTCCAAAGTCTGCAAGCTCTTCGCCTGCCTCACTGGAGACGTCGAGCAGCCGGCGGCCGACGGGCATCGAGGCATCTCCGAGTTCGACCAGGTCAGGATGCAGAGCCACGACCGTCTGTCCCCCGTCCCCCACCTCCTCACGAGTGCGGAGCTCATGCGGCAAGCCTCGGGCATCAGCTTGCGGGAGCCGAAGCACAGCCGGCAGGTTAGCCACCCGGAGAGCGTTCGGAGCAGCCGAGCAGCGCAGACTCCGCACGGGCTGATCCAGGTGGGGGAGCTGGACGAGCGGAGGAGGATGGCGATGTGCGAGTCGGTGGTGGAGAAGATGATCGAGCTGGGGATGAGTAAGGAGGACATTGACTGCCTTCCTCTTGCCTTCGCCCTCCCCCTCCGCGAGTGCCTGTGGGCATGCAGGGCAAACCCGCCCAAGGGGTGGGGGATGGAGGCGTGTAGGCTGGTGTCCCGTGCAGACCTGGCGAGTCCCGTTGCTCCCCGGGCGATCAAAGTGACGGGGGTGGAGACGTACGACGTTTTCAAGGGGGACCTCATAGGGGAGATGAAGAGGGCGCGGCAGAGTCAGCAAGCAGGAGGAGGAGGAGGAGGGGAGGAATTTGCTGCGACTGACAAGTCGAATGTGGATGGCACGAGGATGGACGGAGAGTTTGCGAGGTTGCGATTCGGCAAGGACAGGAGGCTGGTGGAGGTTCGCCGGTGCCTTTCCGCTGTCAATCCAGTGAGGATACAGATTTCGAGCACAGAGGTGAGCTGATAAAACTGTTGATGGTGCCGGTAGTGGTGATGGCGATGATGGCGGTGGTTGTGGTGATGCTGATGCTGCTGCTGCTGCTGCTGCTGCTGATGATGATGATGATGATGGAGATGGAGATGATGATGATGATGATGGACAGTTTGAATGGGTGTTGCCGATCATAAGGACTCTGAGCTTGATGTTGATTATTCCTGATCACCTTCACTAATTTGTTCCATTTCCCCTTTCTCTCCTCCCCCTTACACACACTCCTCCCCCTCTTATTTCTAACTCCCTCCTCAGGTTACCGATCATGACATTCACTCAACCAATCAGAACAAGCTCCAGCTTATCGCCCGTAGAACGCTCGCCCTCTCCGTAGGACGAGGCATGTTCACCCTTGGTACCGCTACTCCCCTCCCCACCGAGGCTCTCCCCATCCCTCCCCTCCAGCTCAGCGGCCGCCTGCAGTCCAACGATGCCCTGATCAAACTTGATGTCTCCCTCCTACCTGCCGACCATGCCGCCTGGCCCGAGTTCCACAACGGAGTGGCCGCAGCCCTGCGGCTCTCGCTCGGTCAGACGGCCATCTCTCGTACATGGATTGTATACAACAAGCCGGAAGTAGCAAACTTCTCGCATGCGGGGGTGCTGATGGGCCTCGGCCTACAGGGCCATCTCAAGGCTCTGGCGAAGCCGGACCTGTACAACTACCTGTGCCAGGACCACGAGGCGACTCAGATCGGCATCATGCTGGGCATGGCGGCGTCGAAGCGCAGCACCATGGACGAGGCCGTGTTCCGCATGCTCTACGTCCACATTCCCTCCCTCCACCCCGCCAACTACCCGGACCTCGAAGTCGCTTCCCCCGTGCAAACGGCAGCGATCATGGGGCTCGGGCTGCTCTACATGGGGTCGAAGCATCGGAGGATCTGCGAAGTTCTGCTGGCGGAGATCGGGAGGAGGGCCACCAACGACAAGCTGCAGGACAGGGAGGGGTACGCGCTGGCTGCTGGACTGGCGCTGGGTCTGGTGACCCTCGGGCAGGGGAACTCAGCGGCTGGGCTAGCTGATCTCCAGCTGGAGAATATGCTGAGGAAGTACATCTCTGGGGGGAGGGCGGCGGACGCGTCGCAGGCAGTGAGCAACGGGAGCGACCCGTCGCTGTGCTGCAGGATCAAGGAGGGGGAGAACGTGAACCTGGACGTGACGTCCCCCGGGGCGACGCTCGCGCTGGGCCTCATGTTCCTCCAGACCAACAGCAGGACCGTTGCTGCGAGGCTCGAAATCCCCTCGACCAACTTCATGCTGCAGGAAGTTCGGCCGGACCTGATCCTGCTTCGCATCCTGGCAAGGAACCTCGTGCTCTGGGACAAGATCTCCCCCTCCTCCTCCTTCTTCGAGTCTCAGATCCCCGATATCGTCAAGGGGGCGTACCCCGAGCTGGATGACATGGAGCAGGGAGCTGAAAAGGACGGCAGGGCAGGGAAGCACACATGGGTCAACGACGTTGAGACCCTCCGGCATGTGCATGCCAACATCGTCGCAGGCTGCTGCCTGTCCCTCGGACTCCGGTGACCCTCTTCCCCTCCTCCCTCCCTCCCTCCCTCCCTCCCTCCCTCCCTCC